TCACAGTTGAAAGAAAAAAGTGAAACTAGTGAATGATGCACATAATTTCACAAAAACACTCTGGTCCACATAGAATAGAACCCATTCCTGGCCCAGCTTACAAGCACTCCCCAAGGTATACTCACCCATTTTCTCTAAGGTTGTCTCAATCTATTCCCTTTATGCCTTTTGTACGCCTGGTACATTAATTGCCCAGTGTCTCAGAAGCCCAGAATATGGTCTCCACTGAGTTGTTGGGCTATCTCCACTTCCTAGAATGTCTTTCTTCTACATGTCTGTGTGTCCAAACAAGCTCAAAAGCAGACTCCTTCAGAAAGGCAGGCTTCCCTGATTTCCCCTGTTGTAACTCATCTGTGCCTTAATCTGATCCCCTTTGGCATTTTCATTTTTGCCTTGTATTCTAAGAATTTATCTTTTCATGAGATTATTGGTTCTTTGAGAACAAGGATTATATCTGATTTCTCTTACCAAGCCAATGCTAACAGCTAATAGACAACATTTAGTGAGCAATTAACATGTATGATTTCCCTTAATCCTCACAGCTAACTGACAATGTTGATACTGACAGTTACCTCATTTAGCAAATGAGGAAATGGGATCAGAGAGGTTAAGAAAGTTGCTTAAGTTCACAGCTGTTAAGTGGTAAAGTCAAGTTGGAGGCCAGGGATTTATAGTCTAAATCTTTAACTCTTGTCTCCATTTACTGAATGTCTTCAGCATAAGGGAAATTTGAATATTTGAATATTTATTAATTGAATTAATAAACAAAGAGATCAATGAAGAACATGTGAGTCTTCAACTGTGAATAGTCCCACTCCATACACAGAACCTCACATCTCTTTCTGGTAGGTAAGAGGTTGTTCAATGAATATTGGCTGAGTTAATGACTGAAGGAATTAGTGCTAGAGCAGATGCCTAGGAAACTGCAGTTGTTCAGATAGCTCTCAAAGGTGTGTCATGCACACAGTATTTCAACATTTATTAACAGGATTCTATGTTCTGTGCAGATGGTATAGAAATAAAGAGTAAATCAGACATGAGACTTTCTTTGGGTTTATATTATGGTAAGATGAGAATTAACTGGCGTTTTTCGAGTCAAGGAAGGAGTAAATGTTGTTGGTAGAGTAAAAATTATTCAAGCTCAGGGAATGATCAACACTTAGAGGAGAGCAGTAAAGTAAGCCTAATTCCAAGCATGAATAATCTACCCCTTAAAGAGGAAAGCAAACTAAAGATCATGAAGAATAACTAGATGACTCACCCATCAAAATAGGAAGCTCTATCTGGTAAAGAGGTGGTGGCGCTGAGGTGGTAGAAACCACAAAGATCCTGCACAAACACTTACCACGTTGTGGACTTCACTCTTGCTTCTTGGTACTGACTATGGAGCCGAGAACATATATGCTGACCAGAATTTGATAGAGGCACTATGTTAGGAGACCCAAGACCCTGGGGTCACTCACTGCCTCCTTCATGTAGCAGCTGTGCAAATGTGGGGACAGTAATAGTCCTTCTTTCACTGAGTTGTTGTGAAAACCAAAGTTAATACCTGTAAAGTGCACAGAACAGTGCGTGGCTTACAATAAATACTCATTAAATGTTAGCTACTTTATGGCAATTCTATTGCAGATTATGTGTGTTTTAAATTGAAAGCATCTTTGGTGAATTTTAGAAGAAGTGAAAATTTTTACATTTCACTTGAGTCTGAAATAAGAGTATATATAAGTCATATAGCTTACATCTTCTAGCAACTTTATTGACAAGATGAAAGTTTACCATCAAGCTCAGAGGCTGGCTTCTCTCAATTGCTATATATAATTATCCCCTGCAGTAGAAATCCAAGTGGACCAGTAAGAGCAGCAAATTCTTCTATAAAAATCACACAGCCACATTTTCTTTTACTTTCCCAGACTATTGAACCTATTAGAACCCATGATCTATTTACTCTAATCTTGAAAGCATTTATTTCTTTATTAAGGCAAACACTGATTTAATCCATGTTTAAGACATGGGTTTAAAACATCAAAATCTATATTTTTAAAAATATGTACATCAAAGAAAAAATATTTTTATGCAGAGAATTACAACTAAATGCTAGATATAGCTTCATTGCAAAAAAAGGAAAATATTCTAATTTTAAATTCTGCAGATAGTCTTTTTGTATAAAAATTTTTTAAATTATGACTGGTGAATAAGCATTTTCAAGCTGTTATTATTCCTATTTAATAATTTATGTTTATATTTCATTCATTGTGTCTTGCCACAAAATGTTAGGGCTTTAGCTTTTCTTACTTTCTGTAAGTTGCATTAAATATGAAAATATTTGAAAATATATGAAAATGCCCCAATAAATATGAGAGATACTTCTTAAATTGACTAGTAGTCAAGGAATTTTTTTTTATTTTCAAATTTGGGCTGGTGGAGTGGCTCAAGTGGTTAGAGTGCCCGTCTAGCAAGTGAGAGACCCTGAGTTCAAATTCCAGTACTGCCAAATTTTTTTTCAAGTTTATTCTACATCAGTAACAGCCATATAAAATGTTTGGAGTTTACTGGTGAGTGGAGTACAGGGCAGGTTTGAGCTAATTTAGAGAAGGTGTAACTGTGGTGAAAATAGCACAGGCTTTGGGCCAGGAAGATTGGGCTCCAAATCCTAGCTCTGCCACATTCCCCATGTGTCTTCTGATCCTAAGCTTATTCACCTCCCCACTTCCAAAGTCATAATAATACCAACTTTACAAAGTCATTGGAAAGATGAGAGCCAATAATGGATAGAAAGGGCCCAGAATATAGTGAATGCTCAATAACCAGTAGCTCTTATATAATGGGGATAATTTGATATACTTGCACATAGATAAAATTAGACAGTTTTGTGCTATATTTTTTTGTATATTGATATTTTAAAAGGTGTGTTAGTAATTTATACTTCATAAGGTTGCCATCTGGGAGCCAAAAGAGAACGGCTCATTTTTCAATTGCATAAAACTTTCTGTAGTTTCTGTTCTACAGTGCATTAGCAAGAGCATCATGTCCTGTACATACCAACATGTTATTGGTGATCATGGAGACTGGAGCACCTAGAAGGAGTTGGGAGACATGTTTCAGCTCTGACTTCATCTCAAAAGGTCTCTTTGACCTTGGATCACCACCTCCCTTTTCTGGTGTGTTTCTTAGTTTTAAGATGAGGAAAAAAAGATAAGATTTCTACAGGGAATTTACTAGTTCTTAAACTGTATTAGGAACCTATTCTGTGATTTTTTTGAGTCAGACATAGGTTCAAGACAAGAGAGAGTAAGAAAATCTATGAAAATGACTAAGGTGCTAGATGTTAACTGTCCATCTTGTGTCCAAAAAGGTGTGATATTAGCTTGATTTTCACATGATCCCTGAAAAGCTAAAATCAAAGTGAGACATAGTATTTTTTCCCCCATGACCAAGAATGGGTTCTCATACAATCCTTGATCACCAATACAAAACTTTGTTATTTCTGTTTCTCTAGTCCTGGCAGTAGATGTGCACTGTATTTAGCACATTTTGCTGACCAAAGCCTTACATATGGTTGGGAGTTGGGGTATAGTCTATAGTTATGGACCATATTTGCATCCATTGAAGTTGCACATAGCCCCAAATATTAGTAAATGTGTTATCTCCCTGTGATTTATCCCTTCCTATGATTAAGTCAATAAATAAGTCCAAGTATAAACTCTCCAACTTCTAAATATCACCAAGCATTGAAAGGGCTACCTTGGAAGGTTCTCTGCCCTAGCAATATCTAAGAAGTTGAAGCCTACTTTGGCAGGCTGTTATGTTGAAGATTCAAATATGAGGTAACCTCCCTCTGACTCCAGTGATTTTATGATTCTCTGTTTCTATTCACTCTTACCAGGCCAACTCTAAGGACACATGCACGCGTACCACTAGGGACAAGGCGGCCTCAGGCACACGAACTACATACCACTAACTACACATGCTGAGCGCACGCCCACCCGCGCGGACGAGACCACAACGGCGCCGACAGATCCACGACACACACTATAGCTGCAAAGCAGACATATATCCACTCAAGGCGCTCATGCTGACAAGGGACGTCCAACTCGGCCACTCCTTATCTACCCTGCCATGATCCTTCGCACTCTAAGGATGTGGGGAACAGGTTTATATTTAGATTTTAAAAATGAATTGTCCAACTCTGTTGGGGAAAAGAGAGTTCAACTCTGTACATGCACTAATTGAATCTTTTTAATACTAATGACACCAGTATTCCAGGATTCTGAGCTATGCAATTTGATTAAATATAGATGGCAGTATTGTGGCAAAAAAAAAAAAAAAAAGGTCAGTAGAGGTAACTAACATGCCCAAACCTAGACTTGGCAAACAGGAGGGAGAGATCATCTTACTGGTATTTGCTGTGGTACCTGACAATTAGCTGCCTGCTCACTTCTCTCTGGATCCTTGAGAATCCCTGCATTCTGCTTGGTTTGTGCCCAGCTTGGTGTCTGAAGCTCACTGGATTGTTCTGTCGCTTAATCTAGTCCTTCTATTGGCATGCTGCCTAGTCCAAGTCAGAAGTTAAAAGGTTGCACTTCCTTAAAATGCAGTATTTCCCAACAGAACTGCATCAATCAACTGATTAGTATAATTGTAACTGTGCTTCTCAAGGCTCAACACTAGGTAATGATCTCTGGCATTGTCTTCTATAAAATTTGTCTTTCCTTGATCTAGCTGAAAATCAACCACTTGGAAGGAGGAGTTTCTGAAATGGAACAGGGAGAACATCGTGTCAAATTGACGTAGTCACACAGAAGGCAGCGTTTGCAGCATTTCTCCATACCTGGTAAGGTTGTTGAGACTCGGTTTGAACTGTGGGGTGTGGAGAATGACTCAGGAGTTAAAGAATGGCATCGTAAAGGAGCCACTGAAGAGGCTTCCTGCCCTAACTCTCACTTCTCTGGCTCTTTTGAAGGTCCTATGCCCCCTTTGGTTTTGGAATTCCCATGACTTACCTTGGGTTTGTGTTGATTTGCTGGCCAGATTTAGAAGTAGCGCAGTCCAACACTCATAGGCCTGGCAGCTGTGTGGATTACACAGAGCTTGGAAACATAACTGGACTCACTTTGATTTCAAGCTGAACCCAAGATGGAAACGAGAGGCCCATCCTTAGAAGGATTGTACCTAAATTGCCAGGTCAATGCTTGTTAATGCAGGCCAAGGTGTTAAGGCCTGGCTTGCTCTACTGTTCTCTCTCAGGAGCCACAAAGGGGTGGTAACATCACTCGTCAGAGAGCAAGTCTCAGGTTTCTGCTCCTGTCTACTCCTGTCTGGGGTTGCCGTGACCTTCTCCGCTTGAAGAAAACTATTTGGCTGTAAACTAAAGTAAGTCTCATTAACCATCATCCCTCCAAAGAATATAACTTTCCCTCTTTCTACCCTCTCTCCTCTTCCTCCACTGTCTTTTGGGCACTTAGGCTATCATGGTACAAGAAAGGGACTTAAATGTTTAACATGGTCAACAGAGAATCCTTTACATAAGGTCTTTGGACCTGTTGATGGAAAAAAAAAGGAAGTGAAACTGACTATTGGTTGAATGGTGACATCAAAGAGTAATCTGCATTCTTATTCCCTATGGTGTGGCTGGGATTTTTTTACCCCAATAAGAGGATTAAATAACAGAAGCTTTCCAGGAAAAGAATGACTTTCTTTCTTTTTTTGATCCTCCTCTCTTCTTTTCCCCAAACCGTTCAGAAATATAAGCATTGGATACCTGAAGACTAATTTCATTTTGGGGAGAAGTCTAATGTCGTTGAAAATTAATACTAGGATTATAATGAATTCAAATAATAATATTCAAATGTCTTTATAGCCACTTTTTTGACTTCTAAATAATACAGTGGGGCTTGAAAGGACAAGTATGAATATTATTACAGTTTTTCATGGTAGAAATCAGAGCCAGAAAGCGCAATGCCTTGCTCAGGATCATATAACTGATGGATAAAAGCATCAAAATATAGTCTGTAATGCAGTCCCCACTTTCCTAACTCAGTGTGTTTTCATCTATCCTTGTTCTCTTTTCCTAAGCAATAGTTCTAGAGTTGGGTTTGAGTATCATGGGAAAGATACTTTTTAAAAAATTTCTTTGAAAATTCTCTAATCCACATTACTTCACTGGTGCCCATAATAAAATCCTCACACCAAAATCATACTCTTTTTTACATTTCTTAGGTCATCACTTATCTTAATTAAGTGGCTAGCTATGTGCAAGCATGACTGGTAGGAAGGTTTTCTGGGAGCCATGACCAAGTGTGAGTTTTCTAATGAGATTCAGGGAGCAATGTCAGGCAAGCACATCTCTTGTTACCAGTGAGAGTGATAAGAAGTAGTCATGCATCAAGCAGACCATCCAGTTGCCTAGCAGTCTACTATTTGATTACCACCTGAGTTGTCTCTGGAATCCTGGTGATCAGAATGTCACTGTGAGTACTTCAGGGTCTTGATGAAAACAGATCAATTTAGTGCACCTGCCTGTGAGAGAAATTTTCCACTCCTTACCAAGTAAGGCTAAGATTAAAGGGTCATTTATCCCCTTTCCTCCTCTCTCGATTATTATCTGCATCATAAAATCAACCATGAGTGCAAATTTAGAGAGATCAATGCATGCTGGTGGGGGTGGGGGGAGCAGCCAACTAAGTATGCAAAATCCCTGGTTCTTTCCAGGTTCTGTGTGGTCTTGAACAAGTGGTTTGAATTTGTGGGCATTATCTATCCAGCAAAGAGATAGACTACATAGTCCTTGACACTTCTGGGTCTGATATTCTGTGATTTCATCTACCTTGTTTCTTCACTAGAATTAACTTTGTAATTTTAGTGCTTCAATACATTATCTTGAGTTGTCAGAGGAAACAAATACTAAGTAAAGTAATAAATAAGTGAACAATAAATATTAACAATTAAATAATTTCTGGTTTAAATACCTGTTTAATGTGTAAAATTAGAAAATAAGTAAATGAAAGCAAAAATAATCTGTTTCATCACTAACAGATATCCATTATGAATATTTCAGTGAGTTTAATTCCAGCATTTTATATATACACATATTACATATTATACATTATGTATTATATCTATATATACGTGTTTCTTAATATATACACAAATTTTTCTTAATACTTTTTCATTGATATATCAAAGAATGGTTTAGGATTTATCACTACATACCTTTGGCCTTATTTCAGTTGTATAAGATCTAATTCCTGTAATAAAACCCTAATTTCATATTACTGGCTATGCTTCTGCTTTCCTGATTGAGCTCTGATTGGTTTAGTACAGAGCATTACTAAAACACCTAAGTGTTGTCAGATCTGAGTTTTGGTATTGGCCTTTTCTCTTAGATACAGTCCAGGAATAGGTTTGAAGCACTAGACAGTGTGTTTCAAAACAGCACCAGGATTTTAAAAATTAATCCATTTCCTATTATAGTTAACATTTATTGGACATATCTTATACATGCCAGACACCATGCTAAGCGATTTACAGGTATAATATTATTTAATTTTAACTCCCTGGAGGGAAGTACACTGTTGTTCCCATTTACGGATGAGGAAACTGGAGTTTAGGGAAAGCACTTGGGCCAAAGACACTGGCTAATAAGTGGCAAAATGTGAATCAAACAGGCAGTTTGGTTCCAAAGTCCACACTCTGGATTCAAAGTAGTGTCACTCACTAATACCAAGCAGAAAGGGCCTAACCTATTGTTGGGAAGGCAGGGCCTTGGGATGGCTGATTACACTCTGGGAGCATAGAAACTTGTGAGCTGAGACCTGAGGAAGGCAGCATGGTGCTAGAATGAGTCAAACAGGCCTGGGCTCTCAGCAAGCTAGCTGTGTGTCTTGGGCATGTCACTTTCCTGTCTGACCACCAAAGTTCTCATCTCCAAGAGTGTGTGTGTGTTGTTGGGGAGGGGATGGATAATCATACCTTCTTTACCGATGAGCATTATGGTGACGACTGAGAAAGGTAACATGACAAAACATCTGACATGCTTCCAGTCATATGGTAATAGCTTTATATACCAATAGTTTGATTCTGAATTGGAGCAGAAAAATTCAAGTTGAGACCTGATAATTAGTCTGGGCTGGAACATACTTGGTTTGTGATTTTAAAGATACTTGAGCCTTTGCTCAGCATCTAAAAGAAACAATGAACAAATGGAACCACATCAAACTAAAGAGCTTCTGCACAGCAAAGGAAACAGTCACCAAACTCAAGAGACAGCCCACAGAATGGGAGAAAATCCTTGCCAGGTACTTATCCAATAAGGGACTAATATCCAGAATCTACAGGGAACTCAAAAAACTCAACCCCAAAGAATCAACACCCCAATGAAGAAATGGGCACATGAATTAAACAGGGAATTCTTAAAGGAAGACGTACAGATGGCCAGTAAATACATGAAGAAGTGTTCAACTTCCCTGGCTATAAAAGAGATGCAAATCAAAACAACACTTAGATTTCATCTCACCCCAGTTAGAATGGCCATAATCAAGGGTAATAACAATAACAAATGCTGGCAAGGATGTAGTGAAACAAGAACCCTTATACGCTTGCTGCTGGTGGAAATGCAAGTTAGTCCAACCACTATGGGAAGCAGTATGGAGATTCCTCAAAAAACTAAAGATAGAACTGCCATGTGATCCAGTGATACTGCTACTGGGCATCTACCCAAAGGAACATAAGACAGGATACAATAGAGACACCTATACACTGATGTTCATTGCAGCACTATTCACAATAGCTAAGCTCTGGAAACAACCCAGGTTCCCTACAACTGATGAATGGATCAAGAAATTGTAGTATATATACACAATGTAGTATTATTCAGCCATACTGTGTTATATGGTTTGAAGGTAAATGGATGCAATTGGAGGACATCATGTTAAGTGAAGTAAGCCAGGCTCAGAAACACAAAAACCACATGTTTTCTCTCATATGTAGAAGATAGATCCAAAGATAAACATATACACAAAAATAAGCAAAATCATATACAAACTCAGATGTAGAACATGTTTGTAACAGTGGAACTACTCTGTGGAACTCGGGGAAAAAGGGAAAGGAAAAGAAAATGAGAGAGCATCAGTAACATTGCATAACATAATATGTGAATCTTGAGGATATAAGGATGTATACTGAAAGCTGTTGAAAAATGGGGGGTGGGAAGTAAAGGAGTAAGGGAGAGTAATAGAAGGGGTTGAATGGACCAAAGTAAAGTACAGCCACAGCAGGCATACACTGAGACACCCCTCTGAACCTCAACTTAAATATTAGTAATGAAAACTAGGGCTGCAAAGTAGATACAGTGTGTGTGGGGGGAGAGTACTAGTGGGAGGGGGTGAAGAAAGGAGATTAAGGTAATGGTAGATGGCAGATGGACTTCATATACCTATATGAAACAGAACTAAAAAACCTCTTGCAATTTCTTTAAGTGGGGTGGGGAGGAGGTTGAGGGGGAGAGACGATGGGGGCAACGTAAATAATGTACAATATAAGTCTAATAGGAATTGTCATTACGAATCCCCCTATATAATGAATATACCCTAATGATCAAACAAACAAATAAATAAGCAAACCAAAAAGATACTTGGGCCTTTGTAGGCTCAGGACCTCACCTTTCTAGGAAGTGGTCAAACTAGGTTATCTCTGAAAGCTAATCTAGGATTCTAGGTCTTCAGTTGGTCTAAAAAGGAAAAAACATGTCAGATAGCGTCTTTCCTTTCCACATCTGTCTGAAAGATGGCCCAAGTTCTCAGAGATGTGTGTTTTGCCCTAGGCCTCTGTACACTGTGGAGATTCTTGACAAGATCCAAGTTCTTGGAACTTTCTGAAGTGTTTGAGGTCTGATGAAAGTCACAACTATTTCTGAGAAAGAAGGGGTGAGGCTGCCAAGATACTGCTGCTCATATTAGCCTTTCTAGGAAGGGAGAGATCACAGTTTTATGGGTTTCCCAATGATGAAGGACAAAACTCTTGCTTTGCTCAGTTGAGAAATCACAAATCCAGACGAGTCCTCGGGTGCCTTATACTCTTATCATTTTGTGATTCAGCTGTAAGATAGCAAGTTAACTGCACTTACATGAAGGGCTCCTAGATGCTAAGCACTATAGAGAGTAGAGAAGGGGGCGTGATTC